GTTAATTGATTTCATCTCTCGACGGATTTTTTATGTAACGGGATATTATTATGATAATGTATTACAGTTTATTAGAGGGATTTATTTGATTGATTGAAAAAGTCTCTGTAAAGCACGAAACGCTCCCAGTTATTTTGACGGAATATTAAACTATAATATTATTTAGAATCCTGTTGTTCGGTATTGGCTCTTGTTTTATCTAAATATAAACTATATTTAACTAGGTAGTAATATAAACTAGGAAAATTATTTGACAATCATTAAAATTATTCGCATATTTTCCAACAACTTTAGGAAAGTTAACGATTTGCTCATAAAAAAAAAATTATTTTCAAATTACAAAATAAGTTTTCTTTATTATTATATAATAACAATAGTATTAATTATTCATTAATCCTCAGTCTCGGCTTTATTGTCATTATATATATATATATATATATGTAAAATTATCTATATATATATATATATATATATATATATATATATATAATGACAATAAATGTCATAAGTAATTATTAATAAGTACGACAAGACCTAGGTGCGCGCGCGCGCGCTCGAGCGCCGAAATATTAACAAGAAGCCATAACTAGCACGATTCTCGCCGGCTCGGCTGACCGAGCATCAAGCATCTGACATCACTGCTGAAATCTGGCATCACTGCAAAATTAGTCCGGATTCGCACCAGGGGCAAAGTTTGTAAGTAAAATCGGGTATATTTAGTCCGGACTCGCACCAGGGGCAAAGTCTGTAATGTGATTTAGTCCAGACTCAATCCTAGGGGCAAAGTCTGTCGGTAAGGGGCAAAGTGTGTCGGTAATTAAAGCACGGAAATGCTGGTCTCGACTTTTGAAAGGCCATTGGCTATCTGTCTATTAATCTGTGATTCTATGAATGTATTTTGTAAAATTAAAACCTTTTTATATTTATAGGTTGCTCCTCTTAAGGCTGGCCGTGCGAGACTCTGTGTTGTTGTAAAAAATTTAACCAACAACATGTAGATTATTTTTACTAAACGATCAGTAAATTGGAATTGCTAATTATGCAATTTATATTTGTAATTACATATGATTTAGGTGTTTCAGAAATATGACAAAATCTGCTCTCTTGTAATGTTAAATTAATCACATTGTTATTTTTCTGAAACACTTTTAGATAATTTTACATTTAAATAAGTATTATATTTCTTCTTAGCATGTAATAATTTTTATAGGATTTTTACATTTTCGTACTGTACTGAAAAAATTTCACCCATTGTAACTATCAAACATTATATTTGGCACTTGTTTGTA